GAATGAACTGAAAATGGGGCTAAACCAGGAATAAACCAGGTCTAAAGTAACATTTGCTGTGGTACATAACAATGCATAGCTATGACAAACAACATTCAAACTAGGACTAAACCAAGACTATCAGGACTAAACCAGGGCTAAACAAGACTAATCCAGGACCAAACTAAGACCCTATATTTTTTCTGATACTGATTGATCACAGTTTAGTATTTGATTTCATAATGTCTTATTTAAAACAAATAAAATGACAATACAATACAACACAATTCAATACAATACGATACAAATTTTATCAGTGCCATTTAACACAAAAATAGTCACATTTCTTTCTCCAAATCCTGAACTCAGCTCCAAACTACATCCTTTTATTGACAGTGGATTGCCGGTACACCCCTAGATTAAAAACTGATCATTGACAATTAGAAACCAACTACTCAATCTCAATTAAAATTAAGAGTAAACACACAGCCCTTATCCACTGATTAAAACTCTGGGGTGTATGGACCAGTGGTGGTACACAGATTTGCAAACCCAAAACTCCTTAGCAACAGCCTCCAGCAAGTGGCCAAACTTAAATTTCACTATTAGTTGTTAGTAAGGGTAAAGTGTGTAGCCTGAGGGCGTGTTCTGGCTTCAACACAAGGTCAAACTGTTCAAATCAAATCCATCAACGCTGTTTGCATAATGAACCAACGCTCATTTAGTTACTGTTAAAAAGCAACGGCTCAGTCTCTGCTGCATTTAGTTGTAACAAGAGTGGATACGTCTTTATAAAGCATTTTGATGTGATAATAATAAGAAATGATGAAATAATGCACTGTAAATTCTATAACATCTTAATCGAAACCAGTGAATAAAATGTATAGTCCCTAAAGTTGTAATTTGAGAAAAGCAGAATCCCAATGCCAGCTGGAGTTTTGCCATTGCAACCAGAAAACACAAGATTGTTTTCCTGTTTCTTGTTCTAAAGGATGCAGGCCATGAACTATTTTTCACTGTCTGTTATTTAACTATTGACCACATTATTACCACAGGATTTATCTCTTTTCAAGCTTTATTGCTGTGCTGTTGTGAGCTTTACGTCATGTTATAATGCTGTTACCTCCCCAAAAACATACCTGGAGTTGTGTTTTGTTTCATTCACACTTGTTTGAGTAATGCCTCATTATTATTATTAATATTATAGTCTGTCTACATCTCCAAAGCTCAAAATGCTTTATTCAATCTTGAGATGTCATGTAGTGGTAGTTTTCAACAGCTACCTTTTACCTTACTAAGACAGTGGAGCTCTTCCCGTATTACTACATGACATGACGAGGTGGAACAGTGTGATTTCTGTTTGAAAGAAAAACCCCGGATTTGAGTTTTAAACACATGTGAAAGAAACGAAACACAACTCCCTTAAATGTTAAAACTAAATCTTTATTCAATTACAGGTTTATATTGCCGAAATGAAAATTAAAACAAGATTCTTGCCTGTAATCTGGCCTAGTTGCATCAACTGCTCGTTTTCATGGAGATAAGTCTAATGCCATACTATGGAAAATCATAGGCAGAACAATAACATCTCTATGGACAAGAGCAGGTAGCAGACCATACACCAGAAAAGTTACAAATTGCATCTTTATAGTTTTAGCACTAAGCATTTTCTCCTAGGGGTGTGTAAAAATATCAAAGCATTTATATATCATCACTATCATACTAAATTTGATAATACAGAATCATTCTACATGAGTTGTTGTATCAATAGTGTTTTTTGGTTCTTTTAGGAATTTTTGTGTGTCTGCATGACAAGGAAGGAACCTTGTTTATGCAATACACTGTTCACTGTCCACAGTTTTGATGATTAAAACCACCTAGTGCCTCCTCTCAATTTCATTTCTCTCCAGTGACTAGGTCAGGAATCACAATACACTAGACAGTTTGCAAAAACCCTGAAGTGCAAGTCCGGGCACCAGCCAATCAGCAAAGAGCCATACATTCTGTGTTGGCAACGATTCCTGAGATGGAGGATTTAAAGCCAGAACAAAGAGAATATCAAGGGGAAATATGTTATTGCCTTTCTTCCTACAGGGTTTGGGAAAATAAAATACCAGTTAGCCCTGTTAGCGGTGCATTACATACATCATGACCTAATAGCAGTGACTGGTTAAATAAAAAAAAGTACCCGTCTACCGCCAAGCGAATGAATTCTAAAGCTGCGAGGTCAGACGGTTTCTTCGAAATGATGCAGGCTAGTGAAGTAGTGGTTTAACAAATAAATATTTTTGCTAAAATGTGTTTGGTTTTTAAAAAACAGAAATATATCACAGTATCATGTGCAATATATCGATTATAACATGTATCGTGATAATATCATACTATGAGCCATGTATCGTGTATCATATCAAATCATGAGGACCCTGTGATTCCAGGCTGTATTTTCTCCCATAATAGGTTACATCCTTCTGAGAGAGAGCACATATACAACAAATACTTTGCAATGCACTATAGAACCTGCCTACTAAAATAGGTTATTGAGGTAGTACTTGTACAAAACGCTTTTTCGAACAGAACCCTGAATGCCAACAGGGACCAATCGATCCAATGTAATAGTGTTCTGGAGCTTGTTGGATCTGTCTATAATGTGAAGACCTAATCTAAGTGCTGTCAGCCTTCAGCCAGCCATGCTGTATCCAATCAGCTCAAATTCATGAAGTTTCCTTGAGCAGAAGACATTATAAATTATACATTGAGATATTTCAGTGAGTAATACTGCCATAACTAGATATCGTGAGATATGCAGTGTTTTTGTGACTCCCTCTAAGTAATTCTAGGAAATGAGTCTAAGTTACTACTGCCTGCTCCTTTGAGTCTAAAACCACAATATCAGTGTAATATTTATTCAGTATTTTTACCACATAACCCCAGTTTCAAAGCCGTGTTCTCTCTCTGATTCAGTGCTCCCTGCCGCGCTCAGCTCATTTGCATTTTCAAACTTGTAATTCTGATTATGGCTCATTAGAAGCCACTGAGAGCGCGTGCTGGCAGAATTTGTGGGAATAGTGCTAACCGTGTAAAATGCTAAACAAATAGGGCTATACATAAAAGATTTGGATCAATACAGAAAAGGGCCCCATTGGTGGACAAAGCTTTTAATATGATTGTGAGAAACAAACTTTACTTTTCTTGAGTTTTTGGTCATTGTTTTTTGGTTAAGGGGCGTTTGTGTGTCCTGGTATATTTTAGTCCTCTTTTAGTGCAGGAAGCGCTGCAGTGTATGTTATTAGGTTCTTTTTTCAGACCAAGAGATTGTTTTCATACCTGATGCTCACTAGTGGTCTTCCTCAGAGTGGTCATGTGATGTTGCTGTGACGTGCGCAGCAGTCGAGAACTCGAAACTGTCAGGTATGAAAACAAATTCTTCCATTCATCCATTTTCTTCCGCTTATCCAAGGTTGGTTCACGGGGGCAACAGTCTACACAGGGACTCTCAGATTTCCATCACCCCAGACACTTCCTCCAGTTGCTCCAGGGGGACCCCAAGGTGTTCCCAGGCCAGCCTAGAGTCGTAGTCCCTCTAGCTTGTGCTGGGTCTTCCCTGGATCCTCCCTCCAATGGGACATGCCGAGAACACTTCCCCAGGTAGGCGTCCAGGAGGCAGATGCTTGAGCCACCTCAGCTGGCTCCTCTTGATGTGGAAGAGCAGTGGCTCTACTCCAAGCTCCTCCTCTGTGACTGAGCTCCTCACCCTATCTCTAAGGGAGCTCCCAGCCACCCTGTGGAAGAAACTCATTTCGACTGCTTGTATCTGCAATATTGTCATTTCAGTCATTATCCAAAGCTCATGACCACAGGTGAGGGCAGGAACGTACACTGACCGGCAAATCGAGAGCTTTGCCTTTTGGCTCAGCTCCCTCTTCACCACAACGGTTCGAAACAGCGACCGCATCACTGCTGACACTGCACCGCCTGTCAATCTCACGCTCCATCTTCCCCTCACTCATGAACTCGTGAAACAAACTCTTGGTGAGAAAAAAGAACCTATTAACATAAATTATCAGAAGACCAAATGAACCTCATTGGACTATAGCGCTCCACTGTGTTTTTAAAATCCATACACTTTCTCTATACACATTTGGATAAACTCTGAACAAAGGTTGAAAAGGAGCTGTTATCTTGAAAACGACAGCGTCATGACGTCATAAGGTGGAACAGAACATTTTGACCTTTGGAGATGTGGACATAATAAAAGATTACTCAAACATGTGTGAATGAAACTAAACACAATTCCAGGTCTGTTTATGAGAAGGTAACAACAACAACAACAACTAAATGGCTTAAAGCTCACAAGAGTCAAGTTCAAGTAATAGTAGGAGTTTAGTAGCCTACAGTAATTAGCCTAATGTGAGCATTTATCACTGAACAAGAAAATTGTTTGTATCTAGGTAGCCTTATTCTAACTGAGGTCTAGAATTGTTTCATAGTAAACTACTACATTACAAAATCGTTGGTAATATTGTTAAAAAATGTAAACTTAAATTGAACAGTACATCATTCATTTCAGTCCACAAGTTTTCCACTGACTATAAAACATAAGCTGCCCAATATGAATCACGGTTGTTGTCAACAACGTGGCCAATATCACACTTACAAACAAGTCTGAAGGAATCATCTAACAATATCAAGCAAAAGCACAGTCCAACTTCCAATACTTCTGAACGCTCTCTACGCCCAAAAGCCACAGCCACAAATACAGCCACAAAATAACCAAAACAAGAAGGCAAACTAACTAGTCCCGAGCTAGAAAGGGGAGAAAAAGCGGGCGATAGCGAGAGTTGCGTCTGTATATAAATCAGTGAACGCCGTGGTATAGACTGAGCATCCAAGATTTTGAAGCGACTACAGGCAGAAAGCGACAGGACCTCCTTTCCACGTTCATTCCGTTTCAACAAGACGTAAAAGCAAGATAAAAAGCCAGCAAAGACATTCAAGAAAGTGTCAGGGCAAAACGTACTCACCAAAAAGAGGCGAAAGCGTTCAGGTTAATCACAAACAGAGCGAATATTGGCGGAGGGATCGTGTCTCCACCGCTGAGCTGGTGCTGCCGCTGCTCCTCCGGTGGATCACGTGACGCACGAGTTTGAGACAAGTCCGGGGCTTTCTGTGCTCCGCTGTTGCTGATAGCGTCTTATCCAAATGCGCACGGGAGCGGGTCAAGCAGAAACAGTATTGATTTTTACCCCTGTCCCGTGATATTGGGGTTTAATGGTGTTCAAGGAGCGTGCCATGTGAAGTCTTTAGGGGTGAAGTCCCAAAAGGGTCCTAAAGGGAAATGGTAAGTAGGCATTAATCAGGCAGTGATTTATGTGTGGATATATGAAATAATGATTATGTTAATTACGATTTCACGTGATTTTACTGGAAAGATTACTTGAAAATAACTGAAGCGGTAAAAATATATAGGCTTATAAGAGCTTTATTTAAAAAAAATAAAAAATAAAAAATGTTGTTAATGGGCCCATATTATGCAATTTCTGATGTTATATTGTTGTTTCTTCATCATAAACATACCTGGAGTTGTGTATTGTTTCATTCACACATGTTTAACACACTAACCTTGTATATTTAGACTGAGTTCTTCTTTCAAACTGAAGACACTCTGTTCCACCTTGTGATGTCATGTGGTAATACAGGAAGTGCTGTGCTGTTTTTTTTTTTTTTTTTGTTTTGTTTTGTTTTTAAACTTCATACACCTTCACTGGAATTATTTGAATAATTTCAGACCTCAAATTGCTAATCACTACTGAAATAAAGGTTAAAGGAAGCTGTTAAAGTAAAAACTACCACTATATGACATCACACGGTGGAACAGATATTTTGAGCTTGAATCTTTGGAGATGCACATAGACTTATAAAGGACAAACATGTGTGAATGAAACATAAAACAACTCCAGAAGTAGCAGCATTATAACATGGCTTAAAGTTCGCAAGAGTCAATTTTGCACAATATGGGACATTCAAAGCAAAATAAGACAAAATTGAGTCAGGCTTGAATCAACCATATTACAGCTGTAATAAAAAATAATAATAATAATAAAAAAATAATGCATACGGTCTAATAAGAAACCACAAAGTGCATTCATGAGGAAGTGAAATGTCTTGTCCAAGGAAACAACAAGAGTATTGCCTGGTATTGGTGCAACCAGCAACTTTCTTACTGGTAAATGCTTTTAACTGAGCTGCATATTTCACCCTAATATAAAATTAGCCAAGTTTAGGTAGTATATTTTTTTATCTATCTATGCTTTTAAATGTGCGGTCTGCCACCTGCTGGTCTCCATGGAGATGTTATTGCTTTACCTGGAGTGTTCCACAGAGGGCATTAAACTTATCTACAGTATCTTGCATATATTCAATTACGGGGGCTTTACTGATAAATATGCATTGTTACTGTGAGCAGACACTCCTCTCCACAGGCCCCATGGTGTAACCTGTCTTTTAATTATCCAGCATTTATATTCTCAGATATTTTATGAGTGTGAGTATATGTAGCAGAATAATAGATTTTAAATACGCCTTTATCATAATCATATCCTATATGAATTAGCTGAGATAATATTAACAGGCGAGCTCTGAAAGGTCCTGTTAAAAGACCTACAGTGTCTTTTCTTCACAGTTGGGTTGAGTCTAATGGGACAGTGATTGGTAGTTGCCTTTGTCAATAACTCCAGTCTCAATCTGTTTTATTGACGCTGGATTCATTCAACTGTGAAACAGAGGCCACTGCAGGACAAGAGGACAAGAACCACAATGTAATAACAGCTTCTATTAGAGAGAGTGAAAAATGTACTTTAAATGTAACGCTCATTTCATTAAATTTTATCTGTGGGTTCTTGGGCTGAAGTTGAATCGCCATCTTATCTAAATCACAGTTTGAATGGATTCAGTTTCATAATTTATTTATTGGGCTTTATTTAACCAGGACAGACCTACTGACATAAGGAATTTTTTCATCAGAGGTGTTGTGGACTCTCAGAGGGAGCCTGTTGTACATGTTCTTATTGACAGGGGAAAACAGAGTACCCGGGGGAAACTTACACAGCCAGAGGGAGAACATGCAACCTGCACATAGAAAGGCCCCGCACTGCCCCCGACTCGAACTCACGCTTTGACAAAACAAAGACGAGCGGATCTGGAGCTGTATCCTGTCTCCCTGATTTCTCCCCGATTTCTCCCCAATTGTGACTGACAAGCGGATTAACAAAAACCACATAAAGGTGAGACAATCAGAGCCCCAAACTATTATTTATCTCAGGTAAAAGAAGTTATATATTTAGTTTTGAAGGTTACCAGAATATTGGAGCAATGACTTGCGCACTTGAGAAACACATTAACTATGATGTGGTTCCTGTATTAGATTGTCAGTTCTTCAGTCTTTTTTTTTTTATCCAATTATCATGTTTAGAAAAGAATGACAATTTCGCACATCAATTACTTGAGACGGGAGCACTGGAATAGAGGGAGCAGCCCAAGAATATAGGGAAAAATCCTGCACACCTTCTTACTTGCAAAATGTGAGATTTATTAGGACAAACAGATTATCAGTTATCATGTTTGAAATGTCAAGTTTCTTATTCAAACTTAAATAGCAAATCTAATCACAATGTTCGTCCAAAAAACCTCAATTAGAGCCCTAGTGGGTTAAAATGAAATCATCAGGAATGTTTTTTGAGTTCTAAACTAATTTCACAATACTCCTCCCGTACACATTGGATGATAAGGATTACTACTTATATGTATTAAATATGTTAATTGTTTTCCTGTTTTAGCAAAGAGTAGGAATTTGTTTGCAGTATTTTATTTGAAAGAGAATATTTCACATCACCTTTTTTCAAACTTCACTCAAGTATGATTTTTGCTGACCATGTTTAATTATGAATAGAGTCGAGGTAACAGTACTTTCACAGGACTAGAAGACTGGCAGTTCTGTTTCATCGGGGGCTGCTGCTGTTGTGCAGTTTGACACGTAATCCACCTTGCCTTCAGTGCACACATATATAGAGGAATATGCTTGAATGGGTGGCTCCTTGTTGTAAAGTGCCCAATTGAGATAGAAAATCGCAATAGAAATGTGGCTATTTATTTATTTACCTCCACCTCTGCCCCTGTTTGCTTCCCCTAACCATTACGCAAACGCTAATAATACTATATCTAATTAAAAATCCCATGGCAGTAACACGCATGGTGAATTTAGATAGCTCAAGACCAGAACCACAGTTTTACGAGAGAAGAGACGATGTAATGAAAAGAAAATAAATATTTATGCCATAATAACTTTTATTTGGGCTCGCTATTCAAATTGGATTCATTTTCCGGTGCATTGAAAGTCACCTTTTCACCTCACTGAAAATCTAATGTGAGATGGGAAAATAACTATTCATCATCTGATAATGTTAGAGCTGCACTGGGCCATTTATTCTGCCGCTCAAACGCAGACAGAGAATTCAATAGAAGTCTGCTGCTACTGTTTGTTTATGGATCCACATTATCCTGCTCGGGTACATTCAGTTTGGTGAAAAATGTGACTTACAAAAAAGACCACGTCAAAGACCAAATCCACATCTATTTTTATGGAACATTTTATAAACATACACCAATCTACAAAGTGCTGCACAGTAGTTGGCGCGTAAATAAAAGATTACGTATTTTGCCAGTCGTTTTTTTCAAGATACTGTGTAACTTTTCTGGTGGTGAGTTACTTGTCTCCATAGAGGTGTTATTGCTTTGCTTGGAATAGCCCACAGTATGGCATTTAACATCAGTATTTTACATCTATGCCACTTGGTGTCTATATTTGGTCATATTTTGGTTTCATTTTATATAACACTTTTCTACTTTCAAGGCACTCAAAGCGTTTTAATCACCCTTTCATACAGACAACTTTTGGATCAGTGGACAAACACTCTAGGCTACTGTTGCCCCAGTATTTCTTCAACATATCTTGAATAGCATCCATTCTTACCTTGAGCGGGTCGCCTCTCCACAGATCTGGCCTGCAGATGTGGGACTTGCAAGTTGTGACTTGGACTCGAGTCAGACTTGAGTCAGTATTTTTAGGACTTGAGACTTCACTTGATAAAATGGAATAAGACTTAGGACTCGACTTGAACTTGAACGTCAGTGACTTGGGACTTGACTTGAACTTGACTTGGACTTGAAGCCTGTGACTTGAGAAGACTTGATGCTTCTCCTAAAAAAGTATATTTTTATAAAATGATTCTCTGGTTACAGCTGATAAATGCAGTGCTGACTTTTACAGGAACAAACGGGAACATGTCCCTACCACTTCTGTTTGGTACTTTGGATGCAATTGAAGTTCAAATGTACTACAGTAATATACAGTACCATACAGTAATATACAGTACAATACAGTAAAACAGAGAACTGCATAGTACATGATCCTTCCTTTTCATTGCAGACTACATGACAAAATAACTGTTATTTAGCACTTTTCAATCTTAATTCTTTCTGCTCTGTCTGTAATGATTCACACTAAGATCTTGTCAAAACATTTAAAAAGGAAAAATTTGCATTTCTACATAATATATAAATATATATACTCATATAAATACTCATATAAATATACCGTGACTTTTTAAGTTCAATTTAGTTTAAAATTCATGTAAATTGCAAAAACCAAAACTGTATTTGATATTTTGGTTTAAAGACTTGAAAGGATTTGAAGCTCAAAGATGACGACTTGGACTTGACTTGGACTTCTGGGCCAGTGACTTAAGACTCAACTTGCACTTGCCTGTCTTTGACTTGGGACTTGACTTGGACTTGAGGTCAAAGACTTGAGACTTACTTGAGACTTGCAAAACAACAACTTGTTCCCAATTCTGCTGACCTGTGCCTTGGCCTGGTTGCAGCACCTCCATGGAGATGATTAAGTTTAACGCCATACGTTCAAACATTCAACCTTCCCGTTATAGGCAACATTTTGAGGACTGTTCACTAGGGATGTAACAATAAACGAAATATCGTGATATCGTATCAACAAAAGTCTCACAATAATATAATGGGCTGTCACAATATATACTGAATCACAAGTTTCTTTGCTTAAATGCATTGTTTTTAGTAGTAA